TTCACACTATTGTGCTATTATCTGATTCTCTTTCAATGGTTTTAGTATAGTTGCGATAAAAGAATCACTTGTCACAAGTTTTTTGCCCCAAAAAAGGGTAAAAGAAGGCCATCGTATTTTAGAATGTAAAAAAATTCAATTTTAGCTTTAAAACGGTCAATTCTTTTTTGACAATTCAATAAAAATGATTAAGTATATGATATTTTTTTGCGTTGGTTTCTGTTAAATTTCCTTGCCACTTGGCTTTGTTACCGTCTCTTGAACTCGATCCATCAATCCCGATCTATTCTCTCTATTGAAGCTAGCTGAATATGGTTTCTACAGAAAATACAAAAATGGGGTGATACATAGTATAGCATAATACGCAGTGCCTTCTGAACTTCGTCAATATTCGGTATATTTGGGAGACAGAATAAATATTCAGTCTCGTTTGAACGAGAATACATGTTACAAGAATGTTAAATGTATACCTTTTTTCAACAAGCCAACTCGGTGTAACTTAAAAAAAATTATGGTCGACAAAGCTAGGCCGTGTTGGTGCTGTGTCTAATGGAGTATTTTCTTAATATAACTACATTCTGATCCAATAGTAAATGTAGTATTCGGAATTAGACCGATTTTCGAGCATAGCGTAGAGATCTACGGCTCTACGAGCCGACTCTAACAGTCCTGTGTAATCTGCAGGTACCGCAGCTTTGCGGGAACACAATAAAAAAAACCAAACTAGCCTTCACCGCGTCCTCCGGCTGCTGTCATGTCGCGGACGAATACGACAGCAATGACATCACGCTATTCGGGAAACAATCGCGCGAGAGGTCGCGGGAACGGGGAGCCAATCAGGCCTTCCAAACTACCCTCTGACCAAGCAGCGGGTTAGCAGCATTTTCAGGCGTCTGTTTTAGGCCGGAGAAGAAGCGCGCAGTCGAGGCAGATATTTGTTATTTCACAGTCGAGCGCTTTCACAGACGAAGAGGGGATACAAAGGTGGGTAAACGCACGAGGTTAAGCCCTTTGCAGCTTAATGCTCTTTGGGGAATGGGGTTGACGGGGCTGTTAGAAGGGCAGCCCAATAGGTCCCTTTAGCTAGTAGCTCCATAGTTGACAGGCCGAGTACGCCGCTTCCCGACCGATGTCGAAAGACTTCTTGACAGGCCTCTTTCGCACTGCGCGTCTGCTGTTGCTGCTTCGAAGGAACAGGGGACTGTTTTGGTCAAATACCGGTGGACAAAGAAAGGCTCAAGCGGCTAGTCAGTTGGCCCCATGTGTCTCTTGTAACAAGATCAGGCCACCAACTCTTCTCTTCCAAAAAACAACGGGCGCAACGTTTTCCTCTTCCCTTTTTTTTCTAACGGGAGTCGGAACTTCCATCGATGTTAGCTTTACGTTGACCCATTCAGGTTCGCCCACTAAACTCGATGGACTCGGACATCGCTTCAAAAGAAAGGAAGGAGTTGAACAGCTAGCTACTTGATAGACCACTGAGACATAGGCGCCGCGCGTTCACTTACGTCCTGGCTAGGCAGCAGGTGCAGAATGAAAAGATCCAAAGCGAAAGGATTCGCAAGGTTTGCTAAATGAGGGACAGAACTTCTCTGGCATCATCTAGTCTCTGGCGGCTTGTCCTCATCCTCTCTCGATCCACATCAACCTACATGAGGTGACTGTCCATAGAATGTGTTCAACAACCACCCACCTCGATAATATTTTTGAAGCGACGTCATCTAGCGCACGGAGTTACTTGCGAATAGCGTCCGTCGTCACTGTTCGGATATCATTTAACGACTGTTGAAAGGTTTGTTATTGTTGTTACAGCTAACTCGTGTACATTTTGAGGGTCACAAACGATTAAGTCTAATTCGGTAGAGCAAAGCAGAAACTTTAACTCTCAGGTGACCTGAATAGGACAAGCTTGAATTCCGCGGTGTTATCAGCACACTAGAGACTAGTCTAACGGGAGCACGAGGATGATCAGAAAAGCGAATGATTTGGGCAAGTTTAAGGCAATGCAATGGATAAATAATCGGTGTGATGAATTGCGACCGCAAATGTAGTCCACAGCACTACTTGGCACACGTCCGAGAAGACGTCATTGATCACCAGAAAACCCCATCTCGATAACGGTCCAGCTTATCCAATCGTCACGCACCGTTGGCTAGTACAACGTGCACTGCTTGAAGCGGATCATTATCCTATGAGGACAAGAATGTTTGCAAAAAAGACCGAGAACGGTCCTCCATGGGTCTTTAGTGATGCGTCTAGTCCATGCGGGTTCTGTGTTTGTAGGCAAAATGATGAAGGAGCAAATCTGTTTTGGAAGGAGGGAGTTTGGGGGCAGGCGCGCAGTAGAAACTCCGTGAACCTTGGCGAGAGTAAAAAGCAGACATGATGATCACATATAGAGTTACGGCTTTCTTTGGTTTCGGACTACATGTCGTCCTTATTGCCGTTGGCATCGGCACCTCCCGAACGGGACGGGGGGCGGGCTGCCCTGAGTGTTTGTTGCCCCCCAAGCTCTATATCTGAGCTCGGAGGCGAGAGAAATCCATTCCTTGAGCCTGAAAGAAGCAGACAAGATTTCATATGTTATGTCAGCGTCTATTCGACGATTAGCAGCATTGCAGTGATCGAGCTTTTTTCTGTAAATATTCACAGCAACGCATCTGTAAACGAAAACATACCAAAAATGGCATCGGATACTAGATTTTCTAACTACTGTTATATTATGAGTTTAAAGCTACGCATAATTCTTGCTAATTAATAGAGAGAGCCGCTGTCGAACAAACGTATCAACTTATCGACGATATCTATGAAGTTGTTTCAACGTCTCGGAAGGAGTCTGAATTAAGAAACAGAAAGCCGATGTGGCAAGGAAGGGTGTGCTAGTTTTACCTCCGGTGGCTTTTTATGACAATGTCCAACCAACGAGGCATTGCATGGACAGGAAAAAAGAATAGACATAACGTAACCCGAACCGGGCGAGATCTGTCTTAAGTTCGACAACGGTATGGAACGGAAGACGAAGCGGAAACCTTTTTGTAGTGACGGATGGGATCGGCTACTGTTAATAGCAATCGACCTTCCCCATTCATTTCGACAAGCTAAGTTAACTCGTTAACACCTTCATGTTACTGTAACACCCGTGAACCTAATACTTGTTTGGGAAAAATGATAGGTCTCACTAGCTCTGCTCGACCATAGCGGCAAGGTCTTAGGCCAACGAAACGGGTCATCGTCTATGGCTAGACAATCTAAGTGGAAAAAGAGACGGCTCTTGTTTGCGTCATCAGGCAGAGAACGGCCAAACCATCGAAGTGCTTGCACACCATTGAGAAAAAAACGACAGGAAGTTTCCATCTGAGGATTTTTACGGGCAACTATTCACCTTAGATCGACGCACTCAAATATTGCTAGGTAATGCCTCACCTGCAATAGTTTCTAATTCGACTAAGGCGTTTCAGCTATGCAGATATATCTTATATATTAGCGGCCTTATAATTGTTTTGCTTCGCTAAGATATTAGAGCTGCTATAGTGCATTTGTTGTTTTGCGGTGGGGAGGAGAAAACGATAATAGATGTTATTACAAATCAAATGAGGACGACGGCTAAACAATAATGATATTCCTAACACCGTTTACGCACACATTATTGACCCTTATTTTATTCTAAAACTATAGCAATCAACATGGCATAGAATTGAACTAGTATAATAGCCCACGTTGTATAATAAAAACACTTCTATTTTTTCTAGCTCTGAGCCAGGCTTCTAAATGGCATGAAGCGACCGTTTGAAAATTACTACTGCAATAATAGGATCATTCAGGAAGAACCTGAGCGAACAGGGAATTGCTCTACCAATCTAAAAAGGTTTGCTTTTAACGTACTTTAATATAATTGTGCTGGGTTATAAATCATATGCATTTCTGTAACTTTTAATCTTTCCACAGAACCGCCAGATTTAGATGGCCGATGTTTTTAGTTGAAAATAAAAGGAGCTAAAAGTCAGTCGGGTTACCGGCCTTGCCATAGATTAGGCGTTCCGTTAGGCTTAGCATACATTTGGTTTTCGAACGTTGACATTGAAGAACGATTTCTATTTTATACGAGGTGATATAACGTAGATTATTTCATATGCATCAGTATTGCCTAATTGGTCATGGAGCTCAAACAAATTTCAAACAAATATTTGAAGAAGCGAATGAGCAGTCTCGGGACGCTCCATAGGTTCTGCCTCATTGACGAAGCACCAATTCGGCCGGAGTTACGAAACCAGCGGTGATTATAGCGACATACCCGGTGAATGGAACGAACTGGGAAAACTCCAAGTATTGAAATAGAGGGAGCATGCTATGGTAATCTGAACAGGAAAGATCTTGACTCGAATTAGGCTCTTGCAGAGTTAGATGAGTATGCGCATGAGTATGCGGAGCGGTGTTCGCGGAGCGATGTTCCGAAATACTGAAGGGAATTTTGAGCCAGGTACGCCACCATTACGGTATATTTCGCTGTGACAACCAATAGAAGTACTTAAACGACAGCAAAAAGGCGTTAGATTGGAAAGCTGTTAGCATTTTCATGGGGATACCCCATGTTCTTCTCATCTTCCACTATTATCACAGCGTAGCCTATAAATGGAAAATGTCCGTTTTGAACATGGAGTGTAATCAAACGAAAAATCTATAAGGGTACATAGATCGACTGTTCACATCTCTGAAAGGCTGGGTTATGTAACCACATCTAAAAATTAATATGGAAAAATGTCAGATTATTAATAATATTAATGTAATATAATTAATTACATATATATACATATACACATATATTTTGTATCCGATTTAGCAAATGCATTCGCGTAGAATATCAGTGCGAGAAAATGCCAGATTTATCATTTATATTTCGTTTTTTTGGCTTTTTTTCCGGTTCCGATAAAAAGGTTCGGTCCTTTTTATTAAAACAGTTTGTTGTTTCACCTTTTTAACACGTTTGCCATATAGATCTACACCTCGAGGTTCGTTCTCCTGAAAGATCCAATCGAGTGCGTCAGTGGCAAACGCTCGCGGTCAAGGCCTCGTCTTCTAAGGAAAATCTTGGGTTAGTTCAGTTCCAGCAAGACACTCACTTAGCTGATCTGCCGCTCGGTTACACGGATCAGACCGGATGATGAATGCGCAAACGCCTCGTTTTGGTCCCTGTCTGTTGATGCGGATCATCGCAGTTGGTGCCGTGCAGAAATCGTCAGCCGTTTTCGCTTGCTATAAGTCGCTCAATGACCGTCGTGTCGTGTGTTTCCTCTCTTGACAGTCGTCGCCCACGGCTCGGCTCCCTGCCAGCATCCCAGCAGTCAAGAACTCTCTTACACACTGGCGACAAAAAGTGGGCGCCTACGGGACCTCTTTTGCTCTCCTGCCAAATGGGTGTATTGGCGGGGCAACGGAGCCAGCCCCGTCTGACGTGAAACCGACTTCCCAGCCGCTCGTTATTCGTCTGCGGACTACCACGCTTGACGGAGTCCACCAGAAGACGAAGGGATTTGACAGTTGCTTCTTGTTGCTTCTGCTTAGAGAAAAACAGAAAAAAAACAGGAAATAAAAGGAGTTGTAGCTGAAACCTATGCAGGCTGAAACGTGGCTACTGCAGGCAGGCTTCAAAAGCCTTCGACTACCGTACCCAGCCAAAAAATTCCTCAAGGAGACTTCGATATATCCGGAATGAAATGTGATGAATATGCGCAGTCGACATTGACAGACATCGATCTGTGAAAGTTCTAGCTACCGTAACTGGGCATGGTAAACGCTTAGCGTAGAGACGCCCCAAGGATCAGCATCACACAGCACACACAAGTGAATGGAATAGTGGAAAAGCGAAGCATAATATCGTTCACTTGCTCGGGTACTGTTAGGAAGACGGACCTACTTCCTATAGGCCATCATGACGCCGTATAGCATGTTGAGCAGACGACCTCCATACATTAGACTTCCATACGCAATTATTATAGCTCCATAAATCGACAGATAGAGGAACAAAGAAATTCAGTGCAGTAGTGGGGGCTTAAATGTCTTCTAACTGAAACAGATTTATCCGACTTGCCCAGCCTCGTAGACTCGCTGCAGATTTTTCAGCTAAATATAAAGCATAACACATCATTCAAAAAAAGAAAACTCAATTTGCTTATAAAAAATATGTGGAGATTTACGCTTTTAACCATACGCGCTATAGACTATTTTTTCTCAATTACTATAAAAGATTTATCAAGTTTGTATCCTCAAAAGGGACTAAAGCTAGATTAATTTCGAAGGCAAGATATGATGCTACTGTAACCTTGTGTATATCCGTGTATGACTTTTGTTCGTCAGGGCGCACGTTAAGTTGTTCTTTACGCAAGCACCAATTGCAGTCTAGATAGAGTTCTTTCGAACCTTACGTCGGAATGACATGAGACCTCGCGTCGTTATCAAGGGTACGTGCGTATTCTGACGAAACAATATGATGCCTGTGAACAGCAAACATCCATAGAGAATCACTGTGTAGATACTTTAAAGCTACGCAGTAGCTTACGTGTTCTTAATCTTATGCAATTATCACACACGTTTGATTGTCATAGATTATAACGTCAGGAAAAATTGTCGTGTCAACATCGCTTAGCTGTTGATCGACAAAGTTCTGATTGAAGTCCGAAAGCTGAGGAACGACATCCACGGTAGAAATAGTGGGTCAACACGGTGAACGTCGGAAAAATGCCAATGGTTGAGGAGAGGATCACGAAGAACGAAAATCGATGCCACCGGGAAATAGGTGGCCGGAGGCAAATTCCCGTTGGTTTCGAAAATGGTCAAATCAGTTACAATCCGCGCACAGCGGGCCCTACTGATAGTTAGTCGACCAATGGCTACCCGAAGAAGGGGAAACGATCTAAGTAACAGAGAACAAACGTTGGCTTTAAAGCGTCTCGGGAAAAAGCGCTGTTCGATCGAAGCACTTTACAACGTTTTAGAATCTCACGAAAAGGTAAGCTTTTCAGGTTGGTGCTAGTACTACTGCCGTCCCATGGTAACAATTGTACCGGAATAAGCCCTCAGGAGCAAATATCATCGTATCAGAAATCTTGGTACAGTGGAGCTGATCGACCCGCCTTCTACTCTCAACAATTCGATACTGCAAGCTGTTGTTCGCATGCGACCCGCTCGCAATGCATATCGTACAGCATGGGCAGCTTTTGGGGGTGGGCAGGCCACGATAGCTACGATTAGAAGGCTGCTATGGTCGATGATAATGTTTTGAAAGCAAAAGTGGACATGATGACGTATAAGAAATCAGAACAGGAAGTATCCGCTTGGTAGACGTAGTGGGAATAGCAGCCGAAGCTGGAGCACAGGAGCGTCTATGTGAGGTCCATTTGTAAAGATGGACGTGATGACCGAGTGTGAGAGAGCGCCAGGAAACGGCCCTCATCTAATCTGCTAGTGGTGCACTCTAGTCCCAACTGGACCACTTCCCGGAACCCTGAGATGTCCGCTAGCCAAAGACTCGAAGAGTTATCGAGCGGCCAGGTCGACTCCGACTACGCGAGCAGTCTCTACCACTACCGCTACCGCTTGCCGCTTCACCTCTTGCTGGTCAGCAAAGCGCTGCAGCGAACCGTAAAAAATATGTCATTTCCTTTCCCAGTCAATGCCGGCCATCGTTGCAAAAGAGGTACCAATCAGACGAAACCGGGGTCGTGTTAAAACGCAACCATATTTTTGTTAGTTTTTTTTTATCGTCGTCTGTTGCTTCTATCGTGCTCTAAAACGACGCCCTTTAAGCAGTGGTAGCTGCTTGCGTAGTTGCTCCTATTAAACGCGGTTTTTCGAACGAACTCCGTTCTTCAGAAGCTTTTTCCTGTGCGATTGCAACATTAACCTTCCAGCTACTACTACAACCTGCCAAGTCGGTAAGCACAACCGACCGCGCAATAAGGTCAAAGTCAGCAGCTTTTCTGGCAGAGAGTCTCATGATGTGTGGATGATGCCCTTTTGTTGAGTGAGAAACAGTGAGCGAAAAAAAAAAAACAGAATCCACTGATGGCTGGGTGAGGTACAGAAGCGTTCATAAATCTACAAACCTGTTAGACTCCACTTACGGAAAGGAAAGGAAAGCCCTCGAGGAGCTCTACGAGCACCACGCAGTGCGCCGATTCCATCAAAGAAGTCGATGCCTGAAAAATAGCATAACCGAGGACGCTATTGACGTTGCTTGACCCCCTCGTCCTCCTGCAAATGCTACTGCTGCTGCTGCTGCCACCACATATAGAATGCAAACTCTCGGAGCCTTTCGTCAAGGTCTCCGTATACGCAGTAAATGGCCTGCGCAATCACCTCAGTGCCAAGCGACCCCTCACCGGTCTCCGCCCGATCACCATCCGTGCGAACCGCCGCTGCGAAGTTTGTTTTTGTGAAGTCTCTTGTTCATTCTCTATTCCTACTATCCGCAATTTCTCCAGGCTTTGCAAATGGTACAAAAGCGCTAACAGTCTTTCAACCTTACCGAAGTTCTCTACTAATTAACCTCATCTACGATCTCTTGCCCATCGACTCTCCTGCTTAGTTTCGGACGCGTATCGTTCTGAAACAATGTAAACGGCTCGTTTATACTGACTTCAGCTCCCTTCCGAACATTACGTATACTCTAGAAGAACTACATGAACCTCTTAAGTCGACTAAATTGATGCTGCAAATATACGCTACAGTTGGTCTATAAATGTGTCTACGGGAATGATTTAATTAATTTGGTTTCGAAATTCGAACTTCTCGGTGCTAGGTTGCAATCAGTTCACAGCTAGACGATACATACTATCGGTAAGGTTTCGTTAACAACGCTGTTGTTTTAGACACGCGCGTAAATTCAAAAAAGTGTTAACACCGCTGACACTTAAACCAATCTAGAAGTTGGAGAATTGTAGAAAATAATCACTTTGTGTTGCATGGCGACCGATGAACTGAATGGGCGTAAGCTGAGAGAACTACATACATTCGCTATTCGGGGAATAGGGCGAGCAATAGAGAGACATTAGTATGAAGGAGGTCCTTTCAAGAGTTCCACGAAGACATTCTGTTATCATCCCTTTTCCTACGCGTCGTCCATTTCTAATCGTCCAGTCGCTCCGTTGCGATCAGCCAGTTCATTGGTTATGGCCGCCCCCTTTTGAAAGTTAGTTTCGCCCCTTTGACGCGGCACTCTCTGAAACGAATCACCGTGTGCCACTGACACTTCCTTAGAGATCCGACGCGAGCCTCCGCAAGAATGACAGCGTCATGGTGAAACCTTCTACCAAGTCTGGAAAATAAAGTTTGATAGTTTCGTTTTGGTACAGCGTATGACCACCGCGTGGGGGTCGGGTTCCATAAATTCTAGCACTGGTCCCAGTGGCACAGTGCATGTCAGACAGCAGCACGGTGTCTCAGAATCCAATTGAGCTCAGACAAGACAATGGCACAAATCAAAATGCCACCTTCGCAGCGTCTGGAAACATGCACGCATGTTTTCAGGGAACTCCAGGAAAGTTAAAAGGTTACGTTCTGACTTGTATGGCCAGCCTGTTGAAACTGCGAATTGTGAAATTTACATCGAAACCTAAGGTGACCGTACAGCGTAGTAAAACTTAATTGTTTTTGCGCCAAATTTTGTACGGCCCTTAGTAATGATTATATGTGTGCCAAAACACGGTGTCAAGCTATACGCAGTTGAAAAATAAACGTACATACTATGGCAATGGTATTCATTTATAATACGATTCATTTGAACGGAAAATTCAGCTCAACTTAAACAAGCGACAATGTAACGTGTATTTATAGGGCTTTCTGCAATATGACTAACTATCAATAAAGGTTCGCTATTGAGGATTTCCTAGTTAAGTCAACCATTGTTCACTCTGCTTTTAGAGGTCAAGCTCACATTTTGCAGAAATTCGAATTGTCAAGGTTATTATTAATCAAGGTTTGGTTTCTCGCTGACGACGCTTTGCACCTCCAAATATCCTGAAATCCTCTTTCTCCTTTAATTAGCAATTATGCGCCTTCAGTAGCGGTATGTAGCTCTATACGCATAGAAAACTATTTGGCCTTATAAAGGCTAAAAAATACTATTCGAACCTTAATTTTTCTCCCTGATACTGACTTCCGAATGATCTAGCATGCGCGCAAAAGCCCGCAAGATTCTCCTAGCCCCCTCATTCTCTTTGGAACTTGCAGATCGCCCGCGTTGCTTAGGTAAAGATTTTAAAGTTAGTTACTGTTTCCTCTTGCCAACGACCTGCTGCTAAGGGACTTGGGAATTTGGCGTCACGGCTTTTCTTCGCAGGGGAAACGGTGCGGTTCAGAGGTTTCAGTGGTTGCGAGGGCGATGTTGCTTGTGAGCAAACTGCGGTAGATAGGTTGATATGAAAAGAGATGGGGGGATATTTTTGCGCTAAGCTCTCTGCGTCCGGCCTAGGGAGAGCCTTTACGGAAGAAACCTGTATGATAAGTACCCACCAGACACAGAGACCGACGCTTGACTTGGCTTTCAGCGTGCACGCCGTGTCTCCATACGTTTCTAACCCGACGTCAGTCTGAGGAAGCGGCCTCGGATGATGAAGTAGGGTGTAGTGTCAGAGATCCCGAATTCATCACTTGCTCCGTGGACTCTCACTTCAAACTCCCTAAAGCACTGGCAGCAGCAACGGCAGAAGCAGCGTAGATCACCGTAGCTATCGTCGCTGGTGCTGCCGCTATTGAAGACCAGAAATAGCTCAACCCTTGAAACGACAAGACGCTCAGCGACCAAATCATCTCCTCGCGAATTCTGCGGCAGTAATTCTAACATTCGTGATGTTGTTTATCTGTTGTTTTCATCATGTGCAAGAGTTAAATTGAAGTATTACTGGGTTGAAACAACATGATGTAATACGAAAAAAATGCTCTTGGAAATGATTTGACGAAAGATATTTAAAATAATGCGTATTCTTACCCGAACCGAAAAAACCCGAAGTTACCTGCATTTCGGACCAGTCCGTCTCAAAACCTACGTTGCGATTTTCTTCGACATTGAAAAAAACCTAATTATTTTTGTTTTTTTCAAAGCATTGTCTATAAGTAATGACAATTTTTAAATGTAATTGAAGCAGGGGTTGTAATACTGTATGTTATAAGGCTATAATTGGGACTACAAAATGCGTGATTCTTATTTGGGATTTTCCGCCCATTTTATAAATTCTTCGAGGTAATGATTAAAGAAGTATTATGGTAGCAACCTGTGTTCTATTTGGTGTCTAGTCGACGGGGCTAGTTGAGTATGGAAATTGATGGTGTTATATTTGTTATTAAGTGTACGTCATAGCCTCAACACTTGTCATCTTAGATTCGTAGTAAAAGCTTTAAGGTACTGTTATTTCCTACTAAAGTTCTTACTTCATTGTACCTTTGTGTTCTATCTTTTCAGGTTTACATTAATATGTGTTGTTCCATACTACCTCCGACTTCAATTAATGCCCCATAACTCCCACGAGTCATTCTGATTTCAGCTTCTATACTACATATTCTTTTAAGCTATAGATATGCAATGCAACTTTAAGGCATACATGTGACCTTTCCAAAATTCGCTGCTGCTTTTTTTTTCAAAATAATTTTTGCTCTAAATCAGTACTGTAGTCTAAAGCCATGCCAGGCTTTATGGTTTGAATCAGCCGTCGATAAAGGCTACCATAAACGAAAACGAAGGTGGGGACGTCAATGGTCAGTCACGAATGGGTTTTGAAACAAAGGACCCGTGTTCAAACGGCACAGCGGACAATCTTGATGGTCTTAAGGAGGAAGTTGCCTTCTGGCGAGGATACAGTACTACATGGAATAGCTTTTAGTACACAAGAGCCCAGATCCTCAGCTACTTGGCAGGCAGGAAACCCATTTTCGTCTTGACCTTTTCCCATCTTCTCCCACGATGTCATCTTTTGGTATATGAGGGTTGCCGCCTTCGAGTCTCAACGAAGTGAATAGGATTCTTAGACCGTATACTTTCGACGTTTCATTGTTGCTCTATCGAACAGATTTATATGAATCCCTCGAGTTCATGAGTAAACGAAGTAGATTCGTTCGAAGTCGAACCGACGACGAGTAACAGTAAATTAAATGAGCCCACAAAAATTGGATGTCTTTTCTTTGTGAAATAGGATTTTTCTAAATTTGTTCTAGCAAAGGCCGTTAGTAATTGGTATAACAAGAGTGCAAGCTAAGAGAATGAACATTTTAATAGAAGAACAAACATTTTCTAGCATACTTTTCGTCTAGCAATATTTAATGATAACCACTGAACGAATATATTCCTATCGTTAATATGAGAAAACCTTACACACTATTTTAATGAATTTTTCTTTTATTTCAATTGACTTGACCCGATGTAGCCATATATACAACGTACAACTTCAAGACTGCGCATAAGCGGAGTTGAAGCTCAACAATTACAGGCTTGCCATTTGCTATTTATAAATCAAGGAGAAAAAAAAAGGCTTACAGTTATAGTGTACGAGTTAGCTCTAGGGTCTAGGATTACAACAACATTAATCAATCCGGAAAAGCACATATGGCCTACCCAAAAATCCAGCATAGGTTCGAAATTGAGATTTCAGATCAGGGAATGTTTTCGAAACCTGAACCATGAGTCCCTGAAGTTTAGTAACAAAGAAAGACAACAACAAGTCCTTTCTAGTCATCTATCCATTAACCCAAAAGTTTACTTATTTTGTGAACTTTCTTATATTGGCGCTTCGGTCTAAACAAGACGATACAGATCCGCCATGTTCTTCTTTCCAACTTGCCAATGTACGCCATAACGTTAGAATGAATATTCTAAAAGATTATTAGTTGCAAGTGCTTTAAAGCTCATTTATTCAACCTGAAGTGTACGAAGCATCGCGTTGTTATTGTACCGACATTTTATTATTATTATTAAGCGATTATAGCAATGTCCATATAAAAGATAATAGCCAGTGAAAATAACACAAGAATCACGTCGGCTGCAGACAGCCGAATGGACCTGACGGGATTTTTGTGAATTTTTACGGTACCATCACCGCTCCTACGAGTATCGGTGGCGATGGTGACGCCAAAAATATTTTGGCGGCCAGTACCAAATGGGAAATAGGATCGCTTTTTAAGGGTCGAACGATTCCTGTGACGACGATACCCTTCTATATCCGATCAACTAGCGAAGGCATTGGGCGGACATCCGCTAGCTTTTTGGCAGAAAATAAACGAGAATTATATAGGTATTCTTTCGTTCGAAGAAAGGACGCATCGAGGATAATAAATGATCTGAGTGAGTGAATCTGTTT